ATATTTATTTTTATATTAATATCCATAATAATTAGCCTTTCTTAAATTCACTATAAAATAATACTCTACAATTAGTATCGATATATTCGATATATTGCAACGGCTTACATGATATATTTGACCTTTGTAGTAATTAATTAATTTGAAAATAAGAGATGGCTTTACTTTAATATCATAACAGTTTGCGTTATAAGAAGTTGGAATTAGCCACGTAAAAAAAATGTGAATTATTGACATAAGGTAATAACATTCTTATATCATTTCTTCTATTATATAGCAGAAAATATTATTTTTCAAGAGATTTAGAAATTAATAATATAATAAGAATTTTATTTTATAAATGTTTTTATTTCGCATTGCATATTGGTTTGAGATAATATTAAAGAATAATAGAAATTAAGAAAAGAATTGTTAGGATTCGATAAGCCTTTTTTTATACAGCATGTACGCTGATTATTTACGTCACTTCGTGACGTTAACCAATATAAATAACACAACATATTTCAATGTAAAAAAATCAAGGGCCTAACCGACGGGTTACTCCAGATATCAGACCTAACTGAGGTCACCCGGTTGTACACGTCTCGGGTACAATCCCTAATCTAAACAAAGTTTAACTTAACATTGTGCTTCCATTTTAGTAGTACAAGCTCTTTCGAAAACTTGAAGATATAATTAATCTCAGTAAAATTTCGCAATGATTATTCCGACAAAAGTATTTAAAAGAAGTATATTGGTCAATATTTCAGGTGTTTGGCGGCTTTCACGTCATTCTAAATTTTTTTTACTTAGTTCCAATATTTAATAATAAATTATAAATAAAAACAAAAATATTCGTTAACCTGTTTTTTAATGCTTGTAAATTTAAGAAATGCGATTCTGTGATATTAAGCAATAAGATTTATAGTACAATACAATCCTACTTGCTCTTCCATTTCAAATTTCCAGAATCTACTGTGAACGATGCGTATAACACATTCATACATACTTTTTTTATTGAGTTTTAAACTCAAAAATAAATATTTAAAAATGAACCTGATGTATTTAAATCAATCATGCGATTTCTGCGAAAATATATTTTTAAAATCACGCGTTAAATTTAATTTGTATTATTAATTTTAATGCCGGATTCAAGTAAATATACTTCGGCAGTTGAATACTATTGTGACGTATGCAAAAACTGTTTCAAAATATCCATCCTATTAAATATTTCACTATTTGTTATGTCAAAAACAACTTTTGAATATCTGGTTATTTATTTACAAGATTTCCAATAAGTGACTAAATATTAGCCTAATATATAATCTAATGACTAATTTTCACTATGATGTACATAAATACATTCACTTTGTATGACTATTGGGTTCGAACTGCAAAAATTTCCAGGTGTCACAGGCAGATACTAAATTTTAAAGTTTCGATGATGTAAGAAGTGTTCTATAGGAAATGGAATCGATATCCTATCAGTTCATTAAAAAGAATAAAAATGAATCTAGATCTTTGTAGATTACCTATAAAAATATCTGTCTTAAAGAAAATTTATCGTTGCAAGTTTGTTTATTATTTGATTTTTCATAAATAAAATTATGATCGTTGTAAGATATACAGTGGTGTGCAAAAAATATTACAATTATTTGAAATTACATTATTTTAATAACCATTGAACCAATTTAAGGCTAATGCGCAGTATATTTTATATAAAAAATTTTAGAAATACTCTTTTCTCATAATCTCCCTACAACGATGTAACATTGAAATTATAAAATTAAATAGAAGTCGCTCTGGTATTTTTTCCCATTCCTCACCTCAAAAAATCACTAGTTCACTCAGTGGCTACCGGAACATGAATATTAAGAACTTAGTAATAATAAGATAGTGGGCTTAGGGTTGTTATTTTTGGAGTCGTTTATATTTCATATAAAATTTTCCATCCATTTATTTATATATTAAAACCGAAGAGACTTTTTTTATTTTTTAAGCATTAACCACCACAGAAAATATTTACTTCGGTCCTGGACGAATTGACCTTGCGACTTTATACCATTACTCTATAGTTATACGAAAAATTGAAAGGCAGTTTCGTCACTAAATAGGGGTTTTTCCAATAATTATTCATATGTTTTGGGTCAAATTAACAGACGTTCTTACAAACCGGTGTAAGCATTGGTGTAGAAAAAGGAATGTCAGCCAAATATATTGAAACTTTACATGCACGATCAAAATTGGATTAGTTAATGTTGATCTATTTCGAAAAAATTGCCAATCACTTTATACATTTATCATAAAAAACTTTTAGTACTAAACTAATTATTGGTGAAAATAAGTGCCAAGAACATTGAATTCCGGGACATTTATATATTCTATATTAGTAAAACTAATTTTCAATAAACCACATAGGCATTGAGTCAATGAACCTTGTATAGAGATCAAAATAAATAATTGTTTCAAATTAAAAATATCTTGTAAAATATATTAAAATGAAGAGATCCGTCATTAGCATGTGATAAACTCAATAAGAAGAATATGAGAAAAAAAATATTATACCACATAGGGATGGTAACGGTCGGTCAACGGTCGGTCCGAGGCCTTTGACCGACCGACCAGTTATATTGACCGGTTGACCGGCCCATATAACAATAATATAATTTAAAATTCTTGATCGATAATTTTATTTAAGCTTTAAATAATAATAACATGGTATTTACTAAAACTCTGATTATTATATATTTTACTTATTTCTTTTAGGCTAACTCGATATGCTTATTAAGTTTACTCTCATATTTATAGCATTATCGCAAACTTTTTTTAAAAAATAAATTAAAAATTTTTATTTATAATTACATAACTAAAATGATTGTTAATTAAAATGCAAAAAATTCTTGGATTACTAATAAAAATGTTTGGTCAACCGGTCGGTCAAAAAACTTTGACCGACCGATATCTGTTACGGTTATGACCGGTCATGACCGTAAACATTAGCATCCCTAATCCCACATATCCCACAAAAAACCAAAGATTCTTGTATTCGCAATGATAAAAAATAAATTAGTATTTTCTATAATGCGAAAAAAATCTCCTTTAAAAGAAACCCATTTCTAAAATATTCAGTTTTAAAATTTTTCACTTAAGATACTTCAAATTCCACAAAATAATATTATGTTTGCCAATAGATATTATTAAATAAAAAAATAATGAGTTACTTAATTTTTTATTTGAGATTTGGAGGAGAGATAAGAATTACACGACATGTCATGCTATAAGGTTTATTTATTGTTCTTAATAACAACATTAACTAATTGTATAGGAAATATCTTTATTATGTTGATTTGTAACGTATTCTTGTTGTTATATTCGGTATATCTGTTGCAACCGGTATTAACCTCGAAAGTGTCGACGTCAAGCCATAGTTGAACTGCGGTTGAATTGCGGTATTGCGGTGAATGTTGTAAAAATTATGTATGTTAAAACATGCATGTAATGATGATTCTCTTTCGGTCTGTATTTTAATTAATTTTAATTTTATTTAGTTTATTTTATATTTATATTAGTATTATTTATTTTATTTGTATTTTTCATAATTGTTTGTATAAATGCGTAGTGCATAATTTAGTATATGGGAGGTAGTAGAAAGGGGGAAATCCAAATTTTTGTTAATTTTTATTATTAAGCTAAATTTGTGCACATGATCGAGATCAGCCAAGATATAAATTTTGACCAAAATTTGGATTTCCCCCTTTTCTACCGACCACCTCCCATATATGCTCGAAACAATCATAAAACGATTGAGTCCGATCGTTGCAAGTCTTGGTGATAGCTTGCGGACTTCTAATATCTAATAAAACATAATAAAACTTTCAAGCCTCGTGTCTTCATGTACAATTCCAGGTGTAAAACCCGGTTAAATAATATCCGGTTAATTAATTGCGACCGGTTAATTAATATTTAATGGGAATGATGAAAATCGAAAAGGCAAAGATCGATTTTTGCGATTAATCGGCTGCTAAAATCGATTTTCGATTCCAGTTTTGAAATCAAAAATAAGCAAGAAAATAAAAAAAAAAATTAATCAATTTATGTTTCACAAGTTGTGAGCTGTCACATGATACTTTTTTGATTTTTACGATACTAAACTTTCTTTTTTAAATATTGAGATTAAACACAAACAACAAATTATTGAAAAATAAATTTAGTTTCACATTGCTCACTTAAAGAACAATGAATCTAGAAGTATTTTATTCTTTATCAATTTTGTGTAACCGATTTTTGTAGATTTATCATTTAACAGGATTCAAAATCGTTCCGACTTTCGATTCCGAACTTTATTAAGGGGCCATAGAATTAATTCTGCATAATGAATTTCAGTTTTTGGGTACTCCGAAGACGGATTGTCCCATTTAATTCATACTGAATAATTACGTTGATCATGTTATACAGTATATATGGGGGTGTCATTTATTTATGCGTTATCGTTTTCTCATAGAACCATAATTGTTGGGAGCAGTAGCTGAAATATTCGTCTTCTTTCGCAGTTCAAATCAAGTTGAAAACGGATCATTTTCTCTATCTAAATACTTACGCAAAATTATCAGTTTAAAGCGTTAAAATAACCTACGATTTCAACGAATAAATCATGACCGGTTTCTTATATATCAATGTTTCGGAAAACGGATCTTACCGCTATTATTTTTTATTTCTGATCCAGTAATATTACCCAATGAAAATTTTCATATTCATGGGGATCGGTACTAAGAAAAATTTTCCGCACGTGTATTTGTGAAATGATAATAAAGAAAATTGAATTTCTAAATTGGTTTATGCATTTTTAAATGAAAATGAATAACGTTACATGAATGTTTTATCTGATTCCAATTTCACGATCCATAATAGAATTAAAATTCAACGAGGTACGGGAAATCACGATGGATTGACATTGATAAAAGTTTCACATATAAATAAGTCCACTTTCTTACAACAAGGAAATGGCACATAACATATTCATCATGAATCGTAATTACATTATTATTTTATTTCTTGTATTTTTCCTTATAAATGTTGAAAAATCTCACGGATGTTATCCTTCTGGCAGACATATTAAAGATCGTATGTTAATTTCAAACAACTTATAATTTATTATTGTTCAACCACTCTAAAATTAAAAAATTATTAATCTCTTCTTTTTATGTTTTGCATAAAGTGATTGTTAATGTTACAGATGCGACATTTTCACGTGGTGAAATCCATATTACGACTTGGGTCAAAGGTGGAACTACCGATGCACTCGGCCACTTTACCTTCGACTATAACGGTGTCAGTGTGCGTATTTTAAAAGATCCCCAATTTGTAAATGACCATCATTGTGAAAACACTGGCAGCGGTACAGTTAATCCAGTCACAACAACCTGGTATTATGATCCAAGCTTAACACCTCCAAAGGGGACACCAGTTAATATTTACATAGCAATATATGCGACTTGTAATGAAAAGGTTGTTTCACCGATATTTTCAGCAATAAGATGTTTAAGTAATAATGTCAGCTACCAAACATCCGCGTGATGGAAAGATAATATAGTGCAGAACCTCTATGCTCAATAACTTGCTTATATTAACAATTGATTGCCTGATACATACAAAAATTATTGACCTTTGATTATTTGGAATCAAATCACTCATTATCATTACAATTTTTAATATTTATTGCATATCTTATTATTATCACAATTATACATAAAATTTATTACAATAAATCAATTAAAATAAAGATCTTATATTAAGTAAATTATTATTTTATTATTCTTATTAAAGTGAGATTTTGAAAATTCATTTCATTAATAAAAATAAGAAATTAATTCTATATCAGTAGTATTTGAAAAAAATCAGCTATGAGGACGAATATAGTAGCAAGAAACTGTGGTTACGTTACAAGTTATAGACTTATTAATATCAGGTTAGAGAAGATATGATTTTGATGCGATACGTATTTGATGATCTATTCTGTATTTATTCAGATTTTCGCTCAATTTGTATAGTTAGTTGTACGGATCTTCATCAATCTATGTATTTGTGGCTGATTTCGGTAATGCACCTCATGTAAATTGAATCTGAAGTTTATATAGCTATTTATTGCTACAGTTACAGCTACAGCTATTGCTATTGCTATTGCTATTGCTATAACGATAAGCTTCTATGTATCATTAGAATAAATTCATAATTTAAAATTTCCTGTGCTACTTTTGAAATGCATTAAATTTTAACCATGTTTAAATTTTGCAGAAATTTTTGTTTCGTTGATCTTTGTAGATCATTTGCATTTTATTATTTTTTAGATTTAAAAATTTAATAAAAAAAAATTTTAAAAAAAAATAATTTCGTTTCGTTTGATTTTTTTGTGTTACATTAATTTATCTATGTTATTTACAATTTTATTTTTGCTTGATTATGAAAAAATAATTTATTTCTTTTATTTCCCTTATTTGTAATGGTACGTTATACTAATTTATATTTATTTCTTTTTAAAGAATTTTTACACAATATTTGTTGTGTTA